TGATAGCATATATGCTGGCTTACAGTTAGACATTTTCAGGGCTGGAAGCAAATCCAGGTCAACTCCTAGCCAGTGCTACTCACATCACCCAGCTAGTTCTTGGATGCCTCTAGTGATGGGGAATTCACTTCTAGAGGCATCTCATTCTTACCCTGCTTTAAATCCTTCAGTGAACACTCCATTGCTCTTGACATAAAGTCCAACTATTTTCTGAGGCCCCACAACCCTCCAGGAACCACCCCCTGCCAACCCCTGACCTTGTCCACTGTCCACCACTTGGTCCCTCACTCTCTTTTCTTTTGCATCTAAGCTTTGCACATACTAGTCCTTCTGCTGGGAATTCTGTCTGTTCTGCCCCCTCCTCATTCACTTAGCCCCTCCCCTTTTTTCAAGTTCTAAGTTACATATCACCTTTCTAGGGAGGCCTTCTTGAACCTCCCAGCCTGGGCTCGACACCCCTAAAACTGCTTGGGAATGTGCTCATCAGTCTTGTAATTAGTTGCTCATTTAAGATTGAGTTGCCCCATTTTCTATGAAGGTGGGGAGCTGTCTGATTTGTCCTTCTGTCTTCTGCATCTCACACCAGTGAGTGGCACGTACACAGGAAGGCACACAATACACGTCCACTGAATTGAGACTCTGTCAGTGCCTCTCTGCTAGACAATTCTTTTTTTTTTTTTTTTTTTTTTTTGGTCTGGCTCTGTTGCCCAGGCTGAAGTGCAGTGGTGCAATCTTGGCTCACTGCAAACTCCTCCTCCCGGGTTCAAGCAATTATCCTGCCTCAGCCTCCCAAGTAGCTGGGATTACAGGTGCCTGCCACCACACCCACCTAATTTTTTATTTTTAGTAGAGACAGGGTTTCACCATGTTGGTCAGGCTAGTCTTGAACTCCTGATCTCAGGTGATCTGCCCACCTCGGCCTCCCAAAGTGCTGGGATTAAAGGCATGAGCCACCATGCCCAGCCCAATTCTTCCTCTTAGCAAGCTCACCCTACTCCAGCAGTGAGTGTTGTCAACACCCCCACTCTGCAGATAACGAAATTGATGAGGGTAGCACTGGCTACAGGGCTGGGGCAGAATGACAGGAGACAGCAGCAAGAAGGATGGAGCCTGGCCCTGCATGGTGTCGGGGTTAAACCCAAACAATTATTAATTTTATTGCTGTTGATATCATTATGATAGTCAAGGTGTTCTCATGGGGAAGAAAATACAGCACCTGCCAAAAGGAGACTGATGCTAAGTGATGCGTACAAGCTCAAGCTGAAATGGCAACTTCCTGAGAGCAGGGGCCCGGGGTCTTTCTTCCCCATATCTGGGGACTTTAGGGCAGTATCTGACTCCCTGCAGGGACAGCACAGAGGGTTCACCAGGTTCTCAGTGCTAAGTCCTGGCCATATACCATCTCATTGAACACTTCCAGCACTCCCTGAGGTCACAGTTATCACCATTCCCAACACACTGATTGGGTCACATGCTCAGGGAGGCTGCGTGGATCCAGGTGACAGAACAGGAAGGTAACAAAGCCAAGGTAGGACCCAGGTCTGTCTAATTCCAAAACCACCCTCCGTGCCAACTTCAGAATTCACTTCCTTCTCAAGAGTCCCCCAACTCAGCCTAGCTGCCCTCAAACTCAAACCAATTTTAACAGCTTCTCCTTCCCTTCACGTTGAGCTATTGATCTTCATTTTCCAGGCTGGTTTTGGCATGAACCACTGTATCTTGGAAGTTTTATCAGGGGCTCATTCTGGCTTTAAGCTTTCATTAGCACAGTTAACTTCCAATACGCTGCAAAAATATTTCTTCACATGTAGCTTCTAACTGCTTTGCCATCCAGATGGTTTTGAAATCAAGGAAGCTGCTATATTTGCCTGGAGCTGGTTGTTTTGAATTTTGCGATCACAGCCTTGGTCAGAAGATGAGTGACACAGCTGGCCACAGTGATTCGTCTTTGAGGAGCACATCACAAAGCAGCAAGAGGAAGTCTCCACTGATAATTTTTTTGTTTGTTTTAAATAACTAATACGATTACGGGTTTCTATTCACATTAGATTTTTGGATGAGTGTATTTAAGTAATTTTCTTTAGTTTTTATTCTGGGTTTCAAAACAGAGCTCCACGTCAACAACTAATTTATTATGGAATAGCCTGTGATTTTGACCTAGTTAATCTGACTCTAAATGATAACTTGCCATCGGAAAGTATATGGCAAGAGATAAAAGCAGAGCTGAAATTAGAAAAAAAAAAATACAAGTGCGAGAAAAAAAGGAGAAGCTATGGTTTCTCATTTTCCCCCTCCAGCACAAATTGTTGAGTAATGAGATTTTTAAAAGCCAGAAATTGCTGTGGAGTGAACCAGTGCTGGCAGCTGGAGAACTGGCACCAGACACATCTGGCCTGACAGGGTTTGAAGGAAGGCTCGCTGCAGTGGGTGACTACCCGTACCGCAGCCGGGCTCCTGCAGCCGCCATGCAGACATGTTCAGATACAAGAGGGAGGGAGAGCAAATGGGAAAAATCAACGTCCAAATTAGAAACTACCTAAGCCATGCTGTTTTTCTTGGGGCCCCACTGTGCCTTTGATTTCCTGATCGTTCAGAGCAAGAATAACAAAATCCGTCTAACCCAGTGATTTGGACAGATTCATCTGAAAAGCTACCCATTGGGTTTGATCTGTTCATACCAGTGATTCTCAACTGGGGAGCCAATTTATCCCCTGGAGACATGTGGCCATATCTGGAGACTTTTTCAGTTATAACTAGGAGGAGGTGCTACTGGCATCTGTAGGAAGAGGGCAGGGATGCTGCTAAGCACCCCAAAATGCACAGGACGGGCCCCTCATCCCCAACAAAGAATCATCTGGTGCCAAATGTCAATAGCGGTGAGGTTAGGAACCCCTAACGTGTGTGTACTCAATCTGAATTCCTTTGGTGGGGTGGCTGGTGTGCCATTATATATATAGTTTCTCGAACCTGGAGACATGAAGTTCAGGCCTGCCCAGCTCAGGCACCTAAGTTATGTAAGTAGTTGAAGGATCAACTGGGTCCCGTTTCCTTTTACTAAAGCAAAAGGATCTCATCACCTGGTGATGCAGCCAGCGGTGAAAAGAGCTTTTGAAAGAAGCGTTCAGTGGAAAAGAGTGCCCAGGGTAGTGCTGGGAGCTGCAGCGGCAGGCTGAACGGCATCCTCCCCGTTTCTGGCGGCTGTGTCAGAATTGAGGGCAGGAGGACCCCGGAGCAGGCTGCCCCCCTCTCTCGTCAGCCCCCCAGGACACTCTTGGCTTCTCTGCTGTTGAATCTGTCTCACTTGCTGTGGTGAAAGGTCACCGAGGAGCTGGGCGGCAGGACTCCCCAGGCGCCAGCCACGGTTCTACACTCACAGTGATTTTATTGGCATGACGGGAAGCTCGGGCCTGCCAAAGACAACAGTCCTGAGCTGTGACTGAGACTGCAGGCTCCTGGGGCATGTGTCCTACCACTCTAGACTGTCCCATTCCCACTGGGTGCAACGACCTGGAAGAGGTGGATGACAGCAGATGGATACCTGGTTTCCCCATCCTGTCCTCCCTATCTCAGCACCCAGCAGAGGGGCGCTTCCACGCCTGGCCCCCTTTCACCGTTTCCTGTTCACATTTTCCTGCCCTTTCTAAAGAAGCAGCAGGGCTGGGGTGGTCTCTTTTCATGCTGGTGATCAACTCTGTGGCCAAGGGCAGCTGGGTGACCTCTCGCTCCCAGGCTGCCAGGGGAAGCGGCCCCTGGATGAATGTCCCTTTCCACATGTGCATCTGCAACTCTTCAAACTGCGGAGGCGCCCTCCCTCGACCCTCCCTCGACCCTCATTCACACCCTTGCCAGCTCTTCCCAAAACAGCTTGCCTAGAAATATGGGGGCTGGGAAGAAAAGACTGTGATTGAAGAGCTCCTCGAGGTGACTTAGACTTTGCTCCTTGCCTGTGCTCCCTGGGAGCGCGCAGCCCCTCATTACCCCGGGGTTCTCGGCTGCCATTCCCTGAATGCGAGCTCAGGGCCAGCCTGCAAGTGGAGTGCTCTTCCTGCACATGCTCTCGTAATCTTCACAACCATCCCAGACGGAAGAGGGGATTTTGTGAGCCCATTTGACAGGAGAGAAAGTCAAGACTGAGAGAGCAGATGGCCATGCTTACCCAAGGCCAGACGGGTTGATACCATGTTGATCTGGGCTTCCCAACCAGGTGGTCTAAGCCCAGGGCCAGAATTCTTAGCCTTTCATAACGTAAGGGTGCTTGGGGATGAGCCCCCAGCTGGGCACACTTCAACTGTGGTTACTGTCATTTTTGTCAGTGGTGACTGGCCCCTGTGACGGCACACTCCAGTCAGCTGGCCTTTGTACAGTTTTGTATACCCTACTCCCCACCCCCACGAAGAGCCACCAGGAACCCCTTAGTCCCGGAGAAGGCACTGCCTCCTCTACCAGGAGTTCCTGAAGCCCCTTGGTCCCCTTTGTCAGGCCTGCTGGGCACAACTCGAGCCTGGGGCCACTGTGTGCTCCCTAGCTTCTCCCCAAGTCCCGCTGCAGGACGAAGCCCCGACCCCACACAGGTCAGGATTCCGTGGGCACGAAGAACCCCAGCATCCTTGGTCTGAGTGACCGGGCCTGTCCCGTACCACGGGGGGCTCAGTGGTGGGTCTGGGATCCTCCTGTATCTTCTTGGAGGCCCCGGTCCCACTGGGCCCAGCACAAAGGGCAGCTCTGGGTACCTATAGGCCAGGCTCCGACTGGCGCAGAGCGTACAGGGGCGCTCACATGGTGCGGTGACGCGACTCCCTTCCGCAGGGCCCAGGAAGCTCCTGGAGGCGCACAGGTGCCGGACAGGTGAGACTGGAGAAGGGCGCTCAGGGCGCAGCACAGCGGCCGCGTGCGCCTGCCCAGGGCCGTAGTCCCCCAAGGGCCCTTAGGGGACATCAGACGGCGAGTTCCCTCCCTTCCGACCTCAGCCAGTTTGCCGAATGGGGGAGGGTGGCACCTACCTCCGAGAAGCACCAGGACGCAAGCGTAGGGGAGCATGGCTGCGAGCATCCCGGCGGGGCTGGCAGGACAGCCCGCTGGGCACGCCCAAGGTGCGCAAGGGGAGGCGCGCGCGCTGGGCTCTCGGACGGCAGCAGGCGCCGGCGTCCAGGCTGGGGTCCTGAGAAGAAGTTGCAAGGGTCCTGCGCCCCCCTCGGCTCTCACACGCGCTCAGCCTCCCCGGCTGTTGATAGTTGTAAGCGGAGCTGCTCACTCATAGGTCCAACTCGCCAGAAGAGGTGGAGACAGCCCCCGGCGAGGCTCGCACACCCGCGCAGGGCGCACAGCCCCTGGTGCAGCTCTTTCTACCATTCAGACCCCCAGCACTCCCCCAGATGTCTGTCCCCTGGCAGTCGCCTTCCCCAAAGTCTTCGCAGTGGGCAAGGAGGCCTTCCCCAAACTCTGGTCCCGGCCAAGCCACCAGAGCGATGCGCTCCTTGCGTCAAAGCGCACCCCTAGCCAGGCCGTTCCCTGGAAGGTCAAGCGGGGCAGGGGGTTCCCCTTAGCCCCTCAAGTCCTGGGACCCCTGAAGTTTCTATTCAGGTCTTCCAGATACTCCTGGAAAAGTCGCGTCAACTTGGTTCCCAGCAAACCCAGAAGCTCAGTGAAAGTGGCCAACCCGGTCGCTTAGAAGCCAGCCACGGCCTCTGTCTGTGAATGAGGCCCTCAACCCCTCCCCACCACACCCAAACGCATCCAGGCGAAGTGTGGAGCCGACCAGGCGGGTTTTCCTCCTCCTCCCAACTCCTCCTCCTGCTCCCCCCCCCACTCCCCAAATCTCATCTGAGTGAGTCAGCTGAGGGTGGCAGCTCAGAGGCAAGGCAGCCGTGAGGCGGAGGACAGGCTGGGGGACCCCAATGGGTCCACTCCGGCCCCCACCCCAGGCACTGGGACTCTGGTGGCACCCTGGATGGCAGGCAAGCCTTGAAGTCAAGTGCACGAGCCTTGGAAAGAAGGACAGGGAGAGTTATGGGATTTATGAATGAAGAAGAGAAAGAGAATCACTCGGATGGGAAAAGTTAACTGGATTGTTCCCACCTGCATGGATCACCGGGTAACAGAAGTGGGACCGAGGGGGCGAGGCTGTGGGCTGGGGATGTGCGGGTTTCCTTGCGTGGCCATAAACCCAGAGACGGAGAGGAAGAGATGGAAAGAAAAAGGAAAAAGGGAAAGAAAGTAAGAGGAGAGAGAGGGGCAAAGAGAGGATGAAGAGAGACAGAGAAGAGAGACCTGAGAGAGGGAGAGAAAGAAAGAGACAGAAAGAGAAATGAAAGTGGGGAAAGGGGAAACAGGCAGAGAGAGTAAGGCGAGGGAAGAGAGAGGGAAAAGGAAGGAGGGAGTGAAATCAAGAGAAGTAAAAAGAACCAGGAAGGGGGGGGGCGCAGAGAGAGAGAGATTGAGAGAGAGAGAGAGAGGGGAGAGAAGAGAGAATAGACAAGAGAGAAGAGAGAAGACAGAGATGTGGCCTCCTTGGGGAAAGGTTTGGAGAACTGGGCCAGGCCCGTTTCCCAGGGCTCACCAGTGAGCAGTCCACCTGCCCCTCTGAAGCATTTGATAGACTCATATGTCCCACTTTTGTGAGCTGATCATCCCACAGAGGACCAGGGGACACCACCTCACCTTTTGATTTCTTACCAGAAACTTGGGTGAGGCTTCCAGGAGATACAAGAGCCCTTCAGTCCACCCAGGGACCCCCGATGTGGGCCCACGAGCTGTCCTTAGCTTTCCTCCTCTCCAGAGGCAACAGAGAATAGGAAAAAGTCCAGAGCAAGGCCACAGCACAACCTTATGCAAATGGAAATGTGAGGAAAATGATCAATTTGCTTCCTGAAAATGACATTTTTTTTTCTGGTTTCTATGAGACGCGAGGTGGCCTTTCTGAAACCGAAATCGGTATGAGCTTTCCCTGGCAGACAATGGCTACAGGCCACATGTTAAATTCTTATGAAAGGGATAACTTTGTGGGCAAGAGGAGAATTGTGCAGGGTGATTATTTATAATTGCATAATTGTGATTATTTGTTCAATTATCTGTCTTTCAATGTACAAAATTTACAATTATGGGTAGTTTAAAAACTGCATGCTAAGGCCGGGTGCCGTGGCACACACCTGTAATCCCAGCACTTTGGGAGAGCGAGGCGGGTGCATCACGTGAGGTCAGCAGTTCAAGACCAGCCTGGCCAACATGGTGAAACCCCGCCTCTACTAAAAATACAAAAATTAGCTGGGCGTGGTGGCAGGCATCTGTAATCCTAGCTACTCCAGAGGCTGAGGCAGGAGAATCACTTGAATCTGGGAGGTGGAGGTTGCAGTGAGCCAAGATCGTGCCATTGTACTCCAGCCTGGGTGACAAGAGTGAAACTCCATATCAAAACAAAACAACAAAAAAAAATTAAAACTACATGCTATTCTGGCCATAATCATTTGAGACTTCAGTCTCTGGGCTTTCTGGATGTAGGTGTTTCAAAGTCCCAGGCGGCTGATGGGGGTTCAAGCATTAGTGGCTTTTCGCGGGGAGGATGGGTGTTACACTGATGTCCTATGTGGGGTCATAATTCAGTATTTTCAGAACTTATTGTACTGCTATTAGAGGTAAAAACTTTTCCACAAAGTATGGTGCTTGTGTATTAATAGTTGTATTGGCTTATTTATAAATGAGAGGATTTGCTGATAATTATTGAGACTGTGGCATGGGCCGGGAGCTAGGTGGGTTGAGTATTTTGTATGCATGTACTTTATATCTGAGCAAATTGACAAGAAGTAGGAATTATGATCAGGCCATTTTACAAACTGGGGCAACTGAGTTCAGAGAATTCGGGCCACTGTCCTGAGGCCAGGCAGCTGGAAGGTGGCAGAACTCCCGGGTCCCTGCTTCCGACCACCGTGCTGTGTCTTCAGAACATGTCCTGTCTCACTGGCTTGTCTACTCCTTTCTGAATCTGAGGACCCCAAAAGAAAAGGCCTGTTTCAAAATAACAGCTTCTCTTCAAAGAGGTGTGTGAATAATGGGGGAAAGAACTCCAAAGTACTTTTTGTATCCAGCCTGGGCAACATGGCAGAACACCATCTCTACAAAAAAATACAAAAATTCTCCAGGTGTAGTGGCACAGGCCTGTAGTCTCAGCTACTAGGGAGGCTGAGGTGGGAGGATCTCTTGAGCCTGGGTGGTCGAGGCTGCAGTGACCTATGATTGTGCCACTGCACTCCAGCCTGGGCGACAGAGCAAGACCTTGTCACACACACACACAAAAAGTGCTTTTTCTAGATCCTAGCTAAACCCCAACTGTTGAGGCTGAGAGTTACAGGTGGGCCCTGAGCCTGCTGCTTTCTCACCCTTGCGATGGGGCAACACTTGGGAGGATGTGGGCAGCTGTAAAGGGCACTGGAGGCTGACGGGTCCAGCGCTCCTCACTTTCCAGGTGAGGAAACAGAAGCACAATGCAGGTGAGCTGCCCCTGTCGAGGTAACACAGATTTCACCCCACAAATAGAAAAAAGCAAAGAAAATGGACAAATACTGTTTGAACAAGGCTCTCCTCAACTCACAAGGAGATCAAACAAGAGCAAAAGAAGGAACCGAAGCTAAAACTCATTTGTTGTCTTCAAACATAAATTTATTTTTAATCAAAAAAAGGAAAAAGTTATGTTGTCCAGATCTTGCATTTTGCTCAAGGAAGGGTGATATACACTTGGTTCCTGACCTCTTTCTTACCAAATAATCGCTTGAGAACTTTTGAAATGGTAGCAATCATAAAGCTGTTTTGGGGAGAAGCCCCAGCTCTGTGTTGGCTGTGAGTCACATCTGTGGGCATTACTGCATCTTGGCCTCTGTAGCTGGGCTTTTCTGGGCTGTTAACTGCAGGGGCCCTCCCTGGGAGGTCAGAGCTGCTGGGGCTGAGGTTTTGGGAGGATTCAGGGGATCTTGCTGGGTGTGAGGGAAGCGTCCTTGAGTCAGATGTCCGTGAGTGAGAGCCAGCCTTCCTGCTCCATGTTTATCTCCCACACCACCTCTTCCCCCAGAATCAAAGTCCAGATGGAATCAGGAGGAAAGTATTGCAGAGCAGGGCCTCTATTCCTTCCCCCTCCCTTCCAAATGCCTACCTCTTCATCCTTGTCCCTGTTAAAACACTGTGGGATGATAAGATCACCCCACAAAATGATGCGATAAAATGGTCTGGTTCCTCTGCTTGTTATCAGGGGTGTCTGATCAAAGAAATGGTGCCCAGGCCTGGTTATCTAATAACCAAATAAGCATCCAGGCAGCCTCCTGGGCCAAGAAAGGTAGGTTGGGGCAGCTCTGGATGAAGCAGGGGACAGGCCGGGGTGGGCTGGGCCCCTCTTGGTGACCATTTCTGCCTCCAGAGTGAGCATGCTGGCTTGGCCCGAGTCGACCAGATCCTTACAACAACCTGCATATTACAGACGAAGAAACTGAGGCAGGAAAACCAAGTCCCTGTCCTTCAGAAGTGCCCGGTGTGCCCCTGAGCCTAGCACATGCCTTGTGCATAGTAGGGGCTCACTACATGTTTGCTGAGTGAATGAATGAGAGAACAAATGAACTGTCACAGAATGAGCACTGGGTTTATCAGAAGACCTGAATTCAAATCTTAATGCCACCATTTAGCCACTCACCATGGCCCAGTGCTAGGAGGAGGCAAACTGGTTCCCAGGGCTCACCACTTAACGGGCACTCACTCTCGGGTGGGCACAGGTGCAGATAGCCCCTCCAGGTGAATGCCTTCTCATAGTTTGAGCCCTGGGTGCCTCACCGCAGTCCGGGCCCTGCAATTCCCTCTGCATCTGTTTCTTCCTCTGTAAAACAGAATGAAGCTGCCCCACCTGTAGGAATTAGAAGACCATGTCCAGGAATTGAGCACTGGGTGCAGGGTCCAGTCTTCTCAGGCCCTGAAACCCCATGGTGAGAAGTTGAAGGTCACACAGCTGGTACACAATGGAGCCTGGATGGAAACCTGGTCTGGGCTGGAAAGATTGGCTCCTCAGCCTGAATCTAAACTACCTAGGTCCTGAATGGCATCTTGTTCACCTGCCTCTGGGAAGGCAGGTTGTGGAAATACAACCTGAGAGCTGTCTGGGAACTCACCCACCAGCCCTCAAACCTGTATAGGTCTTCCTGCTCTATCTGGCTACTGTGTGTATGGTAGGGGCTGGGGGAGGATGGCGTTGGAGGGCTTAACCTAACACCTGGCACATAAATGTTTAGTGAATATGTTTTGAATGAATGTATGAATTCAGTAGATGAATGGATGGGTGATTGGGTAGGTGGATAGATGTGTGAGTGGGTGAGTGGAGGGGTGGATGGGTGGGTGGGTGGGGGCATGGATGGATGAATCGGTGAATAGATGGATAGATGGATGGAGGGTGAGATGGATGGATGGATGGATGAATAGATGAATGGGTGGATGGATGCATGGATGGGTGGGTGGATGAGTGGATGGGTGGTAAGTGGGTGAATGCGTTAATGGGTGGATGAGTGGGGGGGTGGATGGATAGATGGATGCATGGGTGACTGGGTTGGTGGATGGGTGTGTGAAAGAGTGAGTGGATGGGTGGGTGGGTGGATGGGTGGGTGAGTGGATGACTAACACTCCATTTGCTGTATTTGTTGCTCTGGATGGTGCTCACACCGAATGGTTTGTTAATTTTTTAGTAACAATTCATTAATGTGTTAACTCAAGCTGTGGAGACACATCTTAATCCCTGCACTTAAGGGGTGCTTTCCC